ACCCAGCTGTGGGCAGATGTTTGATGTCTCCAGATAACCCAGCTGTGGGCAGATGTTTGAGGTTTCCAGATAACCCAGCTGTGGGCAGATGTTTTATGTCTTCAGATAACCCAGCTGTGGGCAGATGTTTGATGTCTCCAGATGACCCAGCTGTGGGCAGATGTTTGATATTTCCAGATGACCCAGCTGTGGGCAGATGTTTGATGTCTCCAGATGACCCAGCTGTGGGCAGATGTTTGATTCCAGATAACCCAGCTGTGGGCAGATGTTTGATGTTCCAGATAACCCAGCTGTGGGCAGATGTTTGATGTCTCCAGATAACCCAGCTGTGGGCAGATGTTTGATTCCAAACCCCATTTTGCTCAGCTCTGCCCCATGCACTGCTTTGTGAGGAACTCCAAACATCCTCCAGGAGCTCCGGTGCCCTCTGGTCACCCCTGTCCAGTGCCCCTGGACCTGCACCCCGGGCTGTGGGCCATGGGGTCRGGGGGATGGCACTGCCTGCAGTTCCCTGTCCTGCCCCTGATGCCAACCCTGAGCCATCTGAGCCATCTGAGCCAGCAGCTTTGTGGGGTTCCTTTGTGTCACCACCATCATCACCGCTGGCAGGAGGGGCTCCCCCTTGCACCCCAATGAACCCCAGCAGGATCCTGGTCCAAACTCCACCAGGGAGGGTTTAAAATGCCAATAAWACCRGGGACAKTGRRGACACCCCAGCCAGGAGTKMCCCCCAGYTCTGYRTCCCCAGGCTGYGTGAAGAGGTTCCCCTCTGGAGAAACAATTTGTGGGGATTATTTCGCTGTTCAGGGTGGTGCTTCACAAACAATTCATGGGGATTATTTCACTGTTCAGGGAGGTGTTTGACAAACAATTAATGGAGATCATTTTGCTGTTCASCACCTCCAGCTAGTGCCCCATCCCAGAACCTGAGTGTCCAGTTCAATCCCACAWCACAGTGTGTGTTGGCCTGGTGCTCTTCTCCAGCTGTTTTTTGGGCTGGACATAACCCAGGAAATACCAATTTCAGTGCAGGTTTGGAGGTGAAGAGACAGGGAAGGAGAACAGAGGGGTTGAGAGGGTTTTCAGACATATTTTACATGTCTGCACCTCGCTCTGAGGTGGCGTGGGGGTGTCTGAGGTTGGAGCTGGAGCAGGAATTGAAAGCTGTGCTAAACCAGCTGTGCAACACCTGCTCACCACGCCCCAACCTCTGCTCACTCAACACGAGGGTGCAGCACTCACCCAAACCCCTCAGGGCATTTTCAAAACTCCCAAAGCATCCCGAGGAGGGGGGTGGTGTCCTGGGGTTAGAGTTGAGACACCTGGGAATTCAGGACAGCTGGAATTTGGCTCCAGTGAAGCTTTGCTTTGGGTCCAAGCCCACAAAGCCAAGGGGAACCAAAACCAGGAGCTGATCAGGTCCATGGAACCTTCAAACCCCACACTGATCAGGAACATGGATAAATGCCATTTATCCATTTATCAAGCTGCCAACTCCCAAGCCCTGGGAATGCAGGGAGATGCCAGCGTGGRTGTGGCTGCCCTGGGATGCCACAGGTCCAGTGGAAGGATGAAGGTCACAGAGCTCCATGGGGTGGCAYGGGACAGTGAYGGTCAGGTGGCTCYGTGGRGTCCCATAGARCAGTGACTGTCACACAGCTCTGTGGGGTCCARTGGGACAGTGACAGTCATGGAGCTCCGTGGGGTCCTATAGAACAGTGACTGTCACAGAGCTCCATGGGAGGATGATGGTCACATGGCTCCATGGGGTTGCATGGAAAGATGACTCCCATAGAGCTCCATGGGGTGCCACGGTGATGCCTTATCTGAAAGAGAGGCCAGACAAAGTTAAGAGAATGAGAATACACAACTTTAATACAGGCCTAACAGGCCCCCTGGTACATTAGGGCTGACAAAAGCCTCCTCCTGAGGCTACACCAAAAATGGACACCAGGTCACGAGATCTTTACCTTTTATAAGTTCTGCCTTATTAACATATTGGGTCTTAATTCTCCAATGATCTTTACAGGTGATGATGTCAACCACCCCAAACTTGCTCTCCCCCAGCTCGCTGTTGTTTCCATATTTTGGGGCTCTCGGGCAGCGAGGTGTCCTTGGATTCATGCTCAGAGAGGGATTGTTTTGTCTAAAGATGAGAGAACGGTAGTTTTAGTGCTGTACTAGGGAAGTACAAGAATACAGATGCATGAAAACAGAGAAACTAAAAATCCTAAGGCATCAATGGGACAGTGACTGTCACACAGATCCATGGGGTCCAATGGGACAGTGACAGTCACGGAGCTCTATGGGATGCCATGGGACAGTGACAGTCACGGAGCTCTATGGGATGCCATGGGGCAGTGACTGTCACGGAGCTCCGTGGGGTGGTATGGAAGGATGACTGTCACGTAGCTCCGTGCCCCTTGCAGGCTTTCGAGGACATCTACATCGAGCAGCGCAAGGTGATCCGCACCATCCTGGAGTACGCCGACAAGGTCTTCTCCTACATCTTCGTCATCGAGATGCTGCTCAAGTGGGTGGCATACGGCTTCAAGGTGTACTTCACCAACGCCTGGTGCTGGCTGGATTTCCTCATCGTGGATGTATGTGATCCAAGAGCCGAGCTGAGGACTTTGGGGCCACTGGGGGCTGGTGGAAATGACCCCATGTTGTGTTTTAAAGGATAATGGGGTGGCTGTGGAATGAGGGCTTCGACCGTTCCTTAAAATATTGGTCCCCCACAGGAAGCTCCGTGGTTCCCATTGCTCCAACCCATTGCTGGTTGCAGAAACCTTCCAAACCCTCCTGTTTCACACCCCAGCCAAGAACAGTCCCTGCTGTTCCCCTGCTGGACCCTACAGTGTCCACCAGACCCCGTAGAGCTGGGGAGGGACATGAGTGCTCCATGACAAAGCAATCTGTCCTTCCTGTGTCCCACATCAGTTCCACCCTCACACTCAAGAGCTGTGGCTGCCCCATCSCTCAAAGTGTCCAGGGTCAGGCTGGACAGGATTTGGAGCACCCTGGGACAGTGGAAGGTRTCCCTACCCATGGCAGGGRGTGGCACTGAATGGTCTTTAWTGTCCCTTCCAACCCAAACCRTTCTGGGATTTGATGACCCTTGARGAGTGTGGTCACCAGGGACCCCAAGGACTCCATGTCTGATGTCCAATGATGTCCATCTCCGAGGATGACCACCATCCTGAGGGCCTGGGGAGAAAGGGACAGACAGGAGCTGCAGGATGTTTGAGTCGTGTTCCACCTGAGGTGCTGCTGATGGCTTGGGCTGCTCCTTGCAGGTGTCCCTGGTCAGYCTGACGGCCAACTGGATGGGCTACTCGGAGCTGGGAGCCATTAAATCCCTGCGGACGCTGCGGGCCCTGCGACCCCTGCGCGCTCTGTCCCGCTTYGAGGGCATGAGGGTAAGTGTGTCCAGTGTGCTGCTGGCCCTGGAGGGGACATGAGAGTGTCCAGCTTTCCCCTGCGTCAGGGACAGCCCAGTTGATTTCCAGAAACCTCCAGATCAGTGGGATCAATGTTAAGGTAYCCTCRGTCCAGTCTGACCCCACTCGGTGCYRCCGGGGAGGGCAAGGCGAGGATAYGGGGACACAAAGKTCCCATYCAGGACCCCCAAMGYCTCGTCCCCCCTTGCAGGTGGTGGTGAATGCCCTGCTGGGCGCYATCCCCTCCATCATGAACGTGCTGCTGGTCTGCCTCATCTTCTGGCTCATCTTCAGCATCATGGGCGTCAACCTGTTCGCGGGCAAGTACTACCGCTGCGTCAACACCACCACRGGCGAGCTCTTCGACATCGACGTGGTCAACAACAAGAGCGACTGCATGGCCCTGCTCCACACCAACGAGGTCAGATGGGTCAACGTCAAGGTCAACTTCGACAACGTGGGCTTGGGATACCTGTCGCTGCTGCAGGTGGTAGGTCACCATGCGGGGTGTTGTCATACGGGGCRGAGGGATGGCATCAGGGCTGATGTGGTGGGGTTTCTTTGTTGTTTCTTAGCTCCAAAGGTGGTTTTTGACACAAAACAACCCTCAGAAGGGGTTTTCTCCTAGTCAAGGGGGGAAAGGGACAAGGTGGAAGATCGAGGGGATGGTGTCRCCAGTGGGGTGCTGGCAGCACCAAGGGTGGAGCTGCTGATGCCTAAAACAAGGCTCACCTGGAACAGAGGCCAGGCAAAGTGAAGAGAAAAAAAGCAGACAGATTTAATCCAGGCCTGCTGGTACATTGAGGGCAGACAAAGCCTCCTCCTGAGGCTGCACCCAAAATGGACCCCGAGTCATGAGATCTTCCCCTTTTATCAGTTCTGTCTGATGAACACATCGGGCCCCAATTCTCCTATGACACCTTCAGGTGATGATGGCACCCACCCCAAGCTCCCCCCAGATCTCTAGTTTCCATATTTTGGGGCTCTGAGGCAGCGAAGTGTCCTTGGATTTCAGGCTCAGAGAGGAATTGTTTTGTGTGAAGATGGGAGAGCAGCAGCTTTAGTGCTGTGCACTGGAGAAGTACAAGAATACAGATGCATGGAAATATAGAAACTAAAAATCCTAAAACATCACTGTAGAGTGGGCTCTGCACAGCACTGGGTGCAGGAATCAGGGGGGAGGTTCTGTTTTAACCCTGCACCCCTTTGGAAAGTTCCAAGGGCTGTGGGACTTTGCTTGGAGCGGGTGATGATTGGAAAAAGGGGGCGGGGGCGAGCGCAGCCGGTTCCTCTGAACTCCCCACAGCTGGGCCGGRCGGCCAAGGGGAACTGCTCACCACAGCTCTGACAAAAATAGAGGTGTGGGGTCCCATATGGGGCAGGCTGGGGCTACTCCCATYGGATCCAGGGCACCCAGAAGCTGCAGAGTCGGAAAACAACCTGAGCTGACAACACCAGTGCTGAATTCAGCTTCCTCTTCAGCCTGGTTGTTCCATCGGGTTCAGGAAACGGGAGGTGCAGGCCTTTTGTTTAACAAATCAGCAGCCAAAGGCGTCAGATTTGGGGTTGTTCCTGTAAGAGATTTGGGGTCATCCCTGTAAGAGATGTGGGGTCATCCCTGTAAGAGATTTGGGGTTGTCCCTATAGAAGACTTGAGGTTGTCTCTTTAAAAGATTTGGGGTTGTCCCTGTGTGAGATTTGGAGTTGTCCCTGTAAAAGATTTGGGGTAATCCCTGTAAAATATTTGGGGTTGTCCCTGTAAAAGATTTSGGGTAGTYCCTGTTGGGGTCRTCCCTGTAAAAGATTTGGGGTGGTCTCTGTGAGAGATTTGGGGYTGTCCCTGTAAAAGATGTGGGGYAATCMATTTAAAAGATTTGGGGKTGTCCCTGTAGAAGATTTGGGGTCGTCCCCCACCCCACTGGGATGGGAATCCAGCAGAACCAGGCAGGATATGGAAGTCAGGGTTATGGAGGTGGCAGAGTTGGGGACTGGAAAGGAGGCAGCCAGCCCTGGCACAGCTTTGCTTTGGAAAAACACACTTCCAGGAAGAAAAGAGACAATTTCTTTTGGCTTTTCAGGCTTTTCCCAGCCTGGTTTGCAGAGATGTTTTGGGAGGTTGCTGGGAGCCTCAGCCCCAGAACGGTCTGTGCATGTTCATGTGTGAATTTCTGTATTTCTKGAGTGTTTTTCTGGTGGATTCGACCCCCATCCCTCTCCTGCCCTTCCCACGGAGAAACAGCAGCGCTCAGAGCCAAACCCAGCCCCAAACCCCACYCAGGACASGGCTCCTCTCCACTGTCATGGAATCTCAGAATCTTTTAGGATGGGAAAGGCTCCAGCTCTGACCCTTCCTGTTCCCACAGGCCACCTTCAAAGGCTGGATGGACATCATGTACGCGGCCGTGGACTCGCGTGAGGTGAGAGGGGGACACAGCACTGACCACAGGGC